ACTAGTCTACGTCGGCGTTTCGGTCGTTCCTTCGACGTAGGGGCCGAGGACGTGACCTACGGAACGGAACGGGCCCCGTACCCCACGCCCAGGACAGCCTATAGGCCTCAGCCCCTGCTGCCTACCCACCTCCCTACCTGCCTCCCCAGGGTCGCTGGTCGCATGGTTGCTGTCAGGCAGGAAGGTCTCATTTCTTATGACGGGGCTCTCGGGGGTGGGGGCCCATCCAGGTGGGGCGGCGAGACGGCTGCGGAGGTGCTGGGCCTGGGCTGCTCGGGGGAGCTCCGAGCCAACCTTGCCTCCTTCTCCTCCTCAGACTCCATCTTGATAACCTTCCTGGGGTACTCGGTCTGGCAGGACTTCCTCTTCTGTGGTGTGGCTGTGTTGGAGACCTCCTGCGCAGTAGGGAGTCACAGGGTAGGGTCAGGGGCCTCCAAGGCACTGGGGTGGTGGGCGGCAGGGACCAGTGCACCCCCGTGCCCTTTGCTCCTGCCCTGCCCTCTGCTATCTGCTGTGCAGGTCATGCCTCTCTCTACACAAGATGCCCTCGCAGGTCGCCATGCACACTGGCCCTGCCTGCTGACCTCAGGCCTCTGCTAGCCTCTGCCTGCCCTGGGAGTGGCTCGTGCTCGGAGAGGGGCTTCGTGACGGGGAACCAGGAGCCGGGAGGTTGTAGAGTAGGTGCTGGTTGAGGACTGGATTCTTACTCCAGCTCCACCTCTCTCTGCCTGGTGGGATGTGGGCCCTCAGGAGGGGAGGTGGGGGCGGTGAGAGCCTTACCTCTCTGCAGGAGGGGTCCTTCATGGAGTAGGCGTACACTGGCACTGGGTGTGCCCCTGGCACCGGCTGTACTGCAGCCAATCCCGAGGCCTGCACCTGGGCCCTCTGCGCCTCCTCTGGCTGCGAAATCAGGAAACAAGGGTAGTCAGAAATGATGGGCTACAGCAGGACGAGGGCCGGGACCTCAGCCTGGGGTCAGCCCAATCCCCAGGGCCTCACCCAGACACAGGTGCAGGCTGGCTGGCCCGAAGCTCAGAGCCCCTAGGGACCAGGAGTCCTCCCCACGGCCCCCATGACTTCACCCCTCTGTGAGCCTGAGGTGCTGGTGTCCAGGGACCACTTCAGTTCCTGTGCATCCTAACGGGGCTGGAAGGTGACCTCAGGGACCACACCACCCAATGACCCCTCCAGGCTCGCTTGATAATCAGGCCCGCCTAGACAAGTCCAGGGACAAAACAGTCGCTCCTAATGGAAGCAGCTCCTCTGCGGCTGCAGAGCTGTAGCAGGGAGGAAGTCTTCCCTGAGCTGATGCTGGCCTCCCTGCCACCTTCACTCTGCCTGGGGACTTAATTCCCCCTGGGTCAGAAGAGCAACTGCACACATAGGACAAATCACTCAGAACTCCCCGGGCCTCAGTCCCCTCTGTGAAATGGGAATAATAGTAACATCCCCGTCACAGGGTAATGTGGATGAAATGTGACTACAGGCAAAGTGTTTAGAAGAGCACCTGGCGCTTGGTGAGTGCCACTGATGATGCTGTCCTCTGTGCCAGGCAGTGCTAAGTGCCTGTCCCATAATGAAATGCAGGCGGATCCTCAGAAAGATCAACACAGAACTTCCATATGATCCAACAGTTTGAATTCTAGGTATATACCCAAAGGAACTGAAAACAGATGTTCCAACAAAACCTGGCATGTGAATATTCCAGCAGCACTCCTCACCAGAGCCAAAAGGTGGGAACCACCCAAAGGTCCACCCACTGATGAATGGATAAACTCAATGTGGGACTGCCACCCAGGGGACCGTTATTCAGCCATAAAAAGGAATGAAGTTTGGCACACACGACATGGAAGGACTTTGAACACATGAAAAGCAACCAGCCGTGAAAGGATACATACTGTATGATTCCATCTATGTGAAATATCCAGTTTCTAAACGCACAGAGAGCAGGTGGGTGGTTGCCAGGGGGTAGGAGAGACAGAAATGAGTGACTGCTTCTTGGGTATGGGGTTTCCTTTTGGGGTAATGAAAATATTCTGTCTCAGGGAAGGAAACTGAGGCACAGAGAGGGGAAGTGATGTCCTCAGGTCACGGACCCAATAAGGGCCTGGACTAGGGTGTGAATCCAGCAATATCAAAATGGAACTTCCTTTCCTGTCCCCATGGGCGCTCCCCTTTCTTTACTCACTGTCTCCTTCATGTCCCTCCACACCATCTTTCTCTATCCTGTGAAACTGAAGAGTAAGCCGGACCTCTTGCTGAAACCAAGTGGGTGATGCGGGAAGCGTCCCTCTGAAATGGGTGGCACAGACTCGGGGGCTCAGTCCAGAGGCCCTGGCCTGCCACTCCTGCCTCCCGTCCTGACCCCCTGGTGCCCCACACTCCGCACGCGCTCAGGGGATGACCATTCGTCAGGAGCCTATAGTCTGTCCACCCAGTGACGGAAAGGGATTCCGACACAGCTGGAGGAGGCACTTCGTCAAGCAGAGCTGCATCGGGAAAGCCAGGCACCGGGCAGGGAGAGGACGGGGCCAGGGACACGCTCTGTCCCTCCTGTGTGGTGGGAGCTGTGGGCAAGCTCTCTCTCACAGGGGGGACACCAGGGATTACCTGGCCAAGCCCGGGCTGGGAAGGGAGCAGAAGCCCAGCAAGATGGGGCACGTGCTGGAAATCGGGACCCCGAGGTGGGGCTCTTCTTGGTTTCAAGGGCTTTCATGTGAAATGTGGGCTCCCAAATCACTTGCTATGGTGGACTGACTTCTTTTTCTCCTCCCTCCTGGGCGGGAGGAGAGCTGTCTCTCTGGATGAGGGTGGACATGGTGTAGGGGGAAGGGATGGTCTCCCAGGGTCATCTTCTCCCAGGCTTCCAGAAGAAGCACACAATCTCCACTGCCAGTGTTTTTGAAACCACAGCCTGTGACCCATTAGTGGATCATGAAAGCAACGTCATGACTGGCATTTTTTGGTACGACATAGACTAGGATAGAATAGAAAGTATCAGAGTACCTCCCACGTTTATAAGCGTAATTTGTTTTGCAAAATTGTCTTAGCTACAGGTATGTGCGTGTGTGTATGCTGTAGGTTAGATGTAAAATATTTTTTATAGCGGGTGGTTGTCAAAAAAGTTCCAACCACCTCACACTCATTAAGATGGTCACGTTATTTTAAAAAAGCGTGAATTAGAATGTGGAGAAATTGGAGCCGCTGTGCACCGTCGCGGGGAGTGCAAATTGGTGCAGCCATTATGGATACTTGAATGGTAGTCCCTTAAAAACTAAAAACAGAATTACCATATGATCCAGCAATTCCAATTCTAGGCAAATTTTATATGTATTTGATCACCATTAAAAATTAAGGGGAAAAAAAGGTTTAAAAAGATCCTAGTCTATTCTTCCTTGTGTGGCTCTGCAACTGCTGGTATGTAAGGGAACCTCTTCCCAAGTGGGCTGGGAACTCCCCGAAGGCAGGGTTGAGCTCTTCTCCACTTCTGTCCCATCCTCTCTGACCCCCACACCATGTTAATGAAGCGGGGAACACACATGAGGGCTCAGAAAAGAAAAAAAAACAATGATGACTGATTTATAGTTGTTCTACGACTTTAAATTTTTTTCATTTAAGTATTGTGATGTCATTGCAAAAAGAGCCTATGAGAAATAGAGGAGGGAAAATGCCCCAGCTGCTGTCCCACCCAAACACTCCCAGTTAAGCCTGGTGGTGTGTTTCTCACCCTCTTCGCCTAGGCACACAGTGGTGAGGGAAGTGAACTAGCAGTTTCAGGAGGGATGAGTGCTGGCCAGCTCCTAGCTCCAAAGGCAGGAACGTGGGTCTAAGAGTTGCCTTTCTCCTGGCACAGCTGATGGACCGGACTTTCTCCTGGGACAGCCAGACCATGCCTGCCTCCCTCAAGTGGCCACACCTGTCCTTTGCGCTCACAGTGTGTGACCACTTCCATCCCCCAGTTCTATCTACCCCTG